CACACACACACACACACACACACCAAAAAACAAAACAAAACAAAAGAAAACCCACCACCACCATCACAAAAAACCCTAGTATTTTTTCCTATAGTGCTTTCCAAAGAAGTTTAATTTGTTCAGGTTCTCTGTTAAGCACCTGATATTATGCAGTCTCTACACAAGAAACTTAAGAACTTTTCTTCTCTGTTTTCATTCTAAAATTCATCTGGATTTGCAGAACACCATGATGCATTCCTGCTTTAAAGATTATTCTCTGTGCCAGACAGCTGCATATTCATCATAAAATATTTCTTTTGCTCTTAACTCACAGGTATACCTCATTGCCCATCCATAAGGGTTGCCAAGTCATTGAGCTCTTACCAATGAAATGTAGGAGAAGAGGTTTATCCACCTTTTTCACTTCATCCCTAAGAGTCAAATGAGTGATCCTCCCTGCTTTCCTTCTTTCCCTGCCAGTCAAGTGGGTCCAGAAAACTCAGTCTGATGACTAGAAGATTACAGAACTACAGAATGTCTGTCTAGAATGACTTTGTGGAGCAAATCTTCCCTTTTCTTCCACTGACTAGATTTACATTATGCTAATCCACTGATATTTTGAGGCTATCCCTAAAGTAATGCAGTGTGATATGATGAAAGGTATTAGTGGCATGATAATTTTAAGCTGAAACAGAACTAGAGACTACCTAAGCCAGGCATGTACCTGACAGATCTTCATACAGCCCCTACAATACATAACCACCTTCTTGCTGCCCACAAAAAGAACATCAGAGAGCAGTACCCTCTTTCTCCATTGTCTGCTTCAGCACTTTAGGACCAACATATTCTCCCCAGGATAAATTCTCAAGACTTCAAGAAAAAAGGCAAAAGTCTTAATAAAAGAACCTAAAATCTATTTTACAAATGAAAAACAATCAAGACAGAGAGTTTGAATGATTTGCTTAAAAGCACTTATTTACTTAATCACTAAATCAGGACTCAAAATCCTCTAACACATGGTCCAAGTGATTTGTGTTCACAGTTATTAGAAGCAGCTCTCTTCTGAAGTATATTAAGATGATTATGAGTCACAGACTTGAAGGAACTATTTTTTGAATATAGGCAAGTGAATACTATGGTTGATTAAAACTGGTTTGAAATCCTAAAATACTTCTCCATTGAGAAGGGAAGAGCCTCTTCTTGAAATGGGTTATCCCTTTGTTAGTTGCTTAACCAATAGACTGTAGCCAAGGAGACTTCTAAGAGTAGGTCTTAAAAATCCTCCAAGCTGCCCCTACCTTCTTTTGGAATGCTCTGTCTGGGAACTCTGGTTCTCTATAAGCAGTTTGACTGCCCTGGGACTGTCAACTGACATGGCCTTGTATAGACTCTCTAGTCAATCATGCCTTCATTGTCAGCTTTCCAGCTGTCCCTGTTGTGTAACAGACATTTGACTGAAGCCGTTTTGGACTCCCCACTTCAGCTGAAAGCTACAAGTTTACCTCAGTTGGAATTACATAGAGTAGAATTCTCCAGTGGATCCTCGCTTGAACCTTTGAACCAGGAAATCATGTGATAGGATAAAACTGGTGGTTATATGAAGCAACGAAGTTTTCTGTAATTGTTTCACAGTGTGACAGATAAATATTCTCTATTGTATGGTGTAGTGGTTAAAGCATGCAAAGGAGTCAGGCTGCATAGTTTCAAATCCTAGTCCACCATTTATTAGTTGTATGATCTTAAACAAATTTCTTAACTATTGTGTGTCTCAGTTGCCAGCTTGTAAAATTTGGATAAAAATAATATCTACCCAATAGGATAGCTATGGTTGACAAGAATTAATTGATATTGAATGTTTCCAACACAAAGAAAAAAAAATGATTAATGTCTGAGGTGCAATACAATGATCACACATGGTAGGCATATGTTGAAATGTCACACCATGACCCATAAATATGTGCAATTACTATGTCAATTATATTTTTTGAGATTCCAATTTTATAGTGGGGATTAATGGAACTGACCTATTCTTAGAACGCTGTCTGACATAGTAAATAATATATAATAATTAAATAATATTAAATAATTAACATAATTCTTTATTCATTAGTTGCTCACCATAATCCTTCCTTCCTCTGGTTGCTTCAGTAGGCTGCAAATGTATTAGTTTACCAACTATAACAACTTGGCTAAGTTAGAACTTCTTTTCCCAGAATCTGTTTTTGTATGGTTTTAGGTTGAAGCTGGACAGAAGTAGAACTTCTGTAGTGTTTGAAAGGCAAGAGGGAAGCAGCAAACATTTCTTTATGTATCAGTTTTCCTCAGGTAAAGATTTCCACAAACTTAATGACTCAAAAATGTATTTTTTTTCACATTCTGGAGGTCAGAAATTCAAAATCAGTTTGAGCAAAATTGGTGTATCAACAGAACCATGTGCCCTCTGGAGGCTCTTCGCCTTATCTCTTCTAGCTGCAGAACACAGCAGTCCTTCCTCTCTGAAGTCCTCATGCTGCTGTGGTGTCAGAGAGCTTGTGGTTGGCAGGTAGACATCTCTCACTCTCTAGTGTTAGCTTAAATTACAGTAACAATTTGGCCAGGCAACCTCAGAATCTTAGGTCCTCTTCAGCCACATTATGAGAAGTATAGAGCCAAGAGTGATGTAGGGGATAATTATGATCATGTTCTGTAGATCAGATATTGGGTGCTATCAATGTTTGTTTGAAGAGGTATGTTGATTTAAAACTACTTCAGTAATACAGAGAACAAAGGAAAAAGCATAAAGATTACCTTGCCCCCACAACTCAGAAAAAAATCATTTTAACCTCAGGTGCATGTCACTCAAAATAATGAATAGGTAACTAGAAAAAAGATGAATAAACAAAAGGATAAATTCATAAATGTGCAAAAGTAATTTTATTTACCTGAAGGGCGAGTAGGCTTGGAATAAAATTTGTGTTTATATATTTTTAAGTTCAGAACTTTTTAGAATTTCACTGACTTCTGGCTATGAATATTTTCTCCCATTTTTAATGACTTTTTCCCTGTGGAATAACAGAAGAACTTTCTCTTGATATTTGAAATAACAAAGTTTAGCTAGAATACGTTTACACAGATAATTCTACATTTATTTTGCTTGTTTTGCAGGGTGCCTATTTGGGTTTTTTCTTTAGGAAATTCTTTTTTAGACCTCACGGTATACCTAGATTGGTTTGCCATTGCTCTTCATTGTGTTTTAGTTAATTATTTTAATCCCTTTTCGACTTGTGCATTTGTTGACATTATATTATATCTTTCTCTACTTATTAATAGACTTTTAACCATATCAATTCTGTTCACTGCTGATTCTATAATTTGGCTAGTTCTAAAATTTTATGCTATTTCTTTAACTATTTATATAGTTGTCTTCTTCCCCTTGAGTTCATGGCTTAGTTGGATTCTTATTCATAGTCTACTCTTCCATGACTGAATGCACTTTGGGAAAATTTTCTTTATCTTCAATGATATCTTCTTCTACATAGAGTTCTTTATTTGTCATTTCATGCTTTGTTCTTTTCTTCTCTTCTTCCTTCTCTCCCTCTAATATGTTTATCTWTTCTTTCTTGGTTGATTTTTGTGTCCCCTTTCATCCCCAGCTTGCTCATGTTTAAATGGGCAGCTTTATCAGACAGTCTCAATACTTTGGTRGTTGAWTTCTTTTTGGCAGACTTAGCATTTGATATATGACTGGTTT